CACCACCACATGAGGAACTGTATGAAAGGGTTGCGGCATGAGGAAGGTTGAGAACCACTGCTCTATGTAATGTCCTTCATGGTCCTGGGTCCACAGAGCCTGTCCTCACTGATCTAGGGCAGACAGAAGGATCACTCAAGTCAGCGAAACTCCACATCATGCCAGGAGCCTCCTAGCCATCTATTTTACACACACATGCACACACATGAGCAGGCAGGCCTTATCACCCCTAAAAGGTTACAACTATGAAGAAATGAAAGATGAGGTACTTTGCTCCACCCTCTCTTCTTTCTGGCCTGGCCCGTGGCCTTGGATTTGAAGACCATCTGGGTCAGGGAAAGAGAAAGCCATTTTGTCCTTATCCCATAGACAACTTAGAAGGAAATATTGTCCTCTCGGTACATAAGCCTCCTTTTAATTAGCATGTATCAAAACAATGACAATAATTTCAAAACTGCACGCAGCACTGCAAAACCATGGAGATAGAGAGTGGCTGTTACCTCCCGCCCTCCTTTGATAAGAAGGTGGTGTCTTGGTGGTTCTGTGGGTTAAACATTGTTTCTAATGGCCAGGTTGGCAGTTCAGGCCCCAGCTGCTCTAAGTGATAAAGCGGGGACTGTCTGTTCCCACAAAGATTTACAGTCTAGGGGGCCCTGGGGACTGCACCATTCTACTCTGTCCTCACCCTCTGCCTTCCATTCCAGTCTGACTCATAGCGACCCTCTAGGATAGGGGAGAACTGTCCCTGGGGGTTTCTGAGACTGGACCTCTCTAGAGGAGTAGACAGTCCCACCTTTCTCCTGCAGAGTGGCTGGTGGTTTAGAACTGCTGGTCTTGTGGTTTGCAACCCAACACACAAACCTTATGCCAACCAGGCTCCTCTGTCCTATAGAGCCATGATGAGTTGCAATCAACTCAATGGCAGCAGGTTTGGTCTGAGTTTTGGGCACAGAAGAAGGAAATGGGAAGAATAAAGGAATGCTTGAGATCAAAGACAGGGGGAAAACCCTTGTATAGAAGCTAGGTCCTCAGCTTACCTGGGATTAACTAAAGTAGAAATGAGTTTCTAAAAGGGCTTTCCTGCAGTGGGTAGATTTGGAAAAGGACAATTCCCAGCTACTGGGTCACCATGGAGTAACTGGATCAAGATGACTGGGCTACTTACGCACGGAGGACCTCGCTCTACAGGTCTGGACCCAGCAGGAGTACCATCGATGGAAGCAACCAAGATGCCTCACCACGTCCAATGGATCCAGCTATAGCTCGAGTCCCCTTCTCCTTTGGCAACCAGGCCTGGCACTCCTTGCAGAGTGGTCCCCTCAGGGCACAGGTCTGCACAGCATCACTCAGCAGGTGCAGGCAGTGTCTGACAGACGCTCCCATCTTCCTCTGCTTGCCCCTGGGACCGGGAGCTACCCCGCTTGTGCGGGAAGCTGCCTGCCTCTGTCCCTGGGAAGGCCTGGTCTCTGCTCCAGGCCCAGCTGCAGCTGCCAGCCTCAAAGGCTCTGGAAGAGCAGGTCGTGAATGTGAGAGCACACAGGCTGGGCCTGGCCTGGGCCACTGTGGAGGTCAAGGGTTTACCTGTGAGCCTGCCCACTGGTGCCCCTTTTCAGCAGCCCTGCCAGGGCAGACAGGCAGCCTCAGCAGGCCCGGCCGGCGGCAGAAGTGAGGCCTCAGGGTGACTGTGCCTCCTTTCTCATTTTGCAATGTCCATTTGCAAAGCTGACCTAATGCATGGCCCCACCGCTCTCAACCTCGGAAGAGCCAAGAGGGACACAGGAGCCTTTGTCTGGCAGCAAACAATGGGCAAAGTCAGAGCAGAGTGATCCCTGGACAGAGTGGGGGCCCTACTCCACCCCCAGGATGCTGGCTGTACCATGCCACTCTGGGGCAGGTCCTGTGTGGCAAGATCAAGCCCAGGTCCAGCTTCAACCTGCCCGTGTGCGCCTGGTCCCCACTCCTGGGAAGGCCCCGTTGGCCAAGGCTGGTCCCCAACACGGGCAGAGCTGGCCTTGCTCTGCCCCAGCCAGGCAGCCCTCACACGGAGAACCTGCTCCCAAACAGGAAGATAAAGATTTCACGTCTGACCCCTTCATTGCAACTGGTCATTGAATGTCCACCAGATCTCTCCCCCAACTCCCTTGCTCCAAATTAACCCCGCAAAGGCCTTTCAATTATAACCTAGCTTTGAGCAGAGAGTGCCCCTCGCCACTTCATAAACTAATCGAGCGCCGTGAGAGGGGAAGGCCATGGCATGGAGCTATTGTTTCCCGAAATGAAAGGCGTAAGGAGAGAAGCGAGGACGGGGACAGGAGAAGGACCAGAGGCCTGCGGCGGCGCGGTGGCAGGGGTGGGTGGGAGCAGAGTCACCCAGGCCCCAGGAGGCCTCTGAAGGCTGGTGCCGGATGGGGTTAAATTTATGTTCCATTATAAGCTGCGCCCCCCACCACCTCTTCTTCTTTTTTTTTTTTGGTTTCATCTTCTCAGTAAAACACATAACTTAAAATGAAATCAAATATTAAAAATGACAGACTATATAAGTGCTGTGAGTAACTGCAGGTCACGGAGGGAGGGAAAAGCCGGCAAGTTGTCAGGCACTATCTGTCAGAGTGAATTAGAAACAATCAACAGAAACTGAAAGGGAAGGTGATTGTTATTAAGCAGCGGGGCTTCGAGCAGGCTACCCAGATGTGGTCATGCATATAAAGGACAGGAAACAGCAGTTTAATTCAGGAAGCCCTGGCGAACAGGGCAGCAGAGAGGAGAAAAGTCCTTTGTCGCTAATAAGCTGGAAGTTACTTTGATAACAGCAGGGTTAGACTGGAGAATAAAACACATTTCTTTCACTACCACACACCATTAATATCGCAGAAATTCGGTTGGAAGAAACAGCCGGTCGCAAGGCGGGATTAGCTGGCTGCCAGTCCACAGCAGCGGCCCAGAGAGCCAGACCCCCAGGCCCCATTTCAGCAGAGGCCTCCCCTCTGCCCAAAGCCAAGGGCTTTCTGGTCACCCCCCACAACACCCCCACCCCCACCCCCATGGACTGCCAGTCACCCTCTAGAAATGTCATCTTGCCTAAAAGGCGGAGGAGACTGGGCTCTCATTATTTCCGAGTGCCGGGCCCACCCTCGCCCTGGCCTGTGGGAAAGGTGCGAGCCGGGTAAACAGCCTTGATGTAATGAAGTCCATGTATGCAGCCACGAAAAACAATTTTATATGCAGACAAGGCCGATTTCATAAGAAATTACTTATGCAGGCGTTCTGCAATTATCCTGTGATACTTTCAGGCAACAGTCTGACAGCAGTTGTGCAAACAATAAAGGGATTACAGAAATAAAAACAAATAATATTACACACACAGAAACTCCATGTTGCATGTGCAGGATGGAGGGGGTGGGTGGAAACGACCGGAACCGAATAGGGGCCCACAGGACTCGGTCCCAGAGACACGCCAGGTCCCTTTCCGAGGCCTCAGACTGGGCCAAACTTGCCCACCAGACTATTGATGGAGCCCACCTGCGGGCGAGAGAGATCCCTGGCCATTGTATGGGGTCTGCCCCCATTGCCACCCCCTACCACGCCCACCCCCAGCCCTGTGAACCAGCAAGGTCCCCTGCTCACCTTGCTGGCTCTCAGACCCGCACTGTCCATTGGAACGGAACACCAGCCCAGTGACCGCTTCACACCAGTTAACCAGCTGCCAACGAGCAGGTTCCAACTCACGGTGCACGAAGGGTGTCGCAACAGGCCTCTGCCCCACAGGACTTTCAGTGGGGAATCTGCAGAAGCAGACCAGCAGGCTTCTCTTCTGAAAGTCCCTCTGGGCAGACTCGAACCTGCAACCTTGCCATCAGCAACCAGTATGCTACCCATTTCCGCCCCTAGAGACCTCCGGCCCCTTCAGAGGGAGGACCAATGTCCTGGGGAGCCTGGAAAGTCTCTCTCCCTCACCAGTCTCCCCGGCTCCACCCCAGGACAGAATGCATCTTGCCCCTCCTTCCCCATCACTGGTGGCCCTCAGGAAGCCCCCCAGGTGCAGGATCAAAATGGCAGCTGAGTACATGACTCCTGAGGGTCAAATCTAGACTCAGGGGGCTGAGTACATGTTTCCCTAAGCAGCTGGTATGAGCGTGGGTGGTGGGCCATTCAGCTGCCCGCTCCCCAGAGGGAGGACTCAAACCCCGCTCATCACAGTCTCCCCATGGTAAACACACTGAGCACCCCATTATCCAGGTGTTGGGGAGACAGAGAGGCTAGCAGACCCAGAGGGCCACACAAGGACATCCTCACCTCCTCTCCAAGAGATGGGATGTTCCCACTCCACCTCCTCTCTGGTTGGTGACCCTGCCCATCCATTGGGTCAGGAACACAGGAGTGGCCAGAGGGCTGGGGGTTGCTCTTCAGGGGTCTATGCACTGTCCACCACTGCACATGTGTCCAGAAACTGGATTTGTCCTGAGAGCAGTTGGGTCACTACTAGTCAGCTTGTACTGACCAGCCCCTCCGTGTCAAACTCTGGGCATGATGCTCAGTGCAAGAGCCACAGGTCAGCAGGCCACAGGGCTAGGACAGGCCACAGGGCCACTGTCACTTGCAGATGCGAGATATAGGTATCACCAAGTGGGATGACCCCTTTTATGGGTTCAGGGTGCCCCAGTCAGTCCTATCCACACAGTTTCCCATGCTTATGACCAGAACCCTGAGTTTGAGTTGATGCCCCTGCTCACGGCCGTCGCCTGAGAGAGGAGATGTGGGGCTCAGCCTCATGCATTGCAAGTAGGCATCATCTGGGTCCAACCATCTCAGGTACCCTGTCTGGGGAAGGGCCTGGGTGGGCCCTGCCTAGCTGAGCCAGGGTCAGCTCTGATCATCTATTCAAAACTTCCAGAATATATATCCCTAAGACAAGTCCACCATGGAAACACCCCAAGGCAGCTCAAGCCACTGGCTCTGGGGTCAGGAGCTCACCCCCAGGGTCCTGACCTAGTTTGTCCTGGGGGTTGGTGCACATCAGACCAGGTACGCCTGGGAGTCTGCATTCTGCATTCTAAAATTTAAGATGAAACATAGTTGTGTTACCTACTGAGTTTCCCTAAAGTCTAATGATTACAGATTTGGGCAGCGAGGGGTCAGTGGGGCACTGCATTGGCCAGTGACAATTGGTCACTCGGTGTGCCAGGAACTCTTCCGGGCACTGCGCTGTGCCCCGCCCTGCCGCCACGCAAGGCCCCTCACCTCTAAGGGTGCCTCCTTTAGCCAAGAGCCCCACAAGTTGCCTGGCTCTGAGTGAAGGGGGTACCTGCTGTGCTCCAGGGGGGACCTGGGTCCTGGTTCTGACTGCAGCGACTTGCTGTGGAGCCTCGGGCACCTCTCTCACCCTCGCTGGGCCTCAGTCACCTCACATGTAAAATGAAGGTGGATCCTGCTGGCCAAGGGCCCTGCGGACCTATAGGCGATGCAGAATTCCTGCAAAGAGCGCTCTGCCTGGAACATCACCTGCACCACAGGACACACAGGTGGGTCTGAGGAACAAGGGGCCTGAGCTGGCACCCTGCTTCATCGCTCACCAGCTGGACCGCCGGGCGGGAGTCACTGTGGGCTGTTGCCACCCGGGAGCAGGATGAGCATGGACCCGGCTCCGACTCGGTCAGCAGGTCACAGCTCCATTTGGTAAGGGGACACAGTGTGTACTTCCTGGGGACACGGACGGAGGCAAGGGACTCCTAGTGAGTCCCAAGAAGCTAGCCAGCCATTCTGCACCAGGAGCCTGCCATCCTGGACCCCCGCTCTGGGCCAGTGACCTGGGTGTCCCCTCTGTCACAAAGCAGAGCCCCTGCACCCACGAGCATCTCCCCAGCCAGCATGACGAGTTTCTAAAGACACTGCCTCTGGTCGACCAACAGAAACAGAAAAGAAAGTGCAGCTCCTCCTAGGGTCTCCAGTCCCTGTCTGAGCCAGAGCCCCCAAGCTCTCTGGCCCTCATGGGCGCAGGCTTCCCCCACCACACAGCCCTCTTCGCCCTGGCTGCCCCTCTGCCCAGACCTTCCCTGAGTTGGTCTCCCATGTCACTCAGATCTCTTACTGCCAATGTCCCATCATCCCTGACCATCCCACCCCCAGAGGTGTAGCTACAGAAAGTAGAGCCGGGGCCATTAGTTCTAAATTGCTGACTGATCTCTCACAGCTGGTGGTGGAAACTGCCAAGGCCCAGGGCACGTGCCATACCCCTGTACCTTAGATGCACCTGCCTCTCGAGTACAGCTCCGCCACCCTCAGCCACTTGCCACCCCACTGTTACGCTTCCATCTCCCCCTTGGAAACATGTGGGGCAGCAGCATGTTTGTTTGTTTGTTTCCATGTTTAGTCCCCCTCCTCTGACACTCTGCCTCGCCTACGCTGCATCCGGGAT